TATATATATATATATATATATATATTTCAATTTTTCTCGAATTGCGTTTTGGAAACAATATTACATTTTATTCGAAATTTAAATAATGAATTATTTCGAGCTAATTGTATAGTGAAAAAAATAAATAAATAAACTAAAATTATGAGCTTTTGGCGATGATTCAAGATCAATAATTCACTTGTGACATTTTGCTATAGTATCACCATAATTTGCACACCAACCCAATATTTCACATATGTATGATTAATCCATTTTAATTAACCTCAAATGTGGTCGAATTGAAAGGGAATAACTTCACAGTTAGTCTTTCTGACAGAAGTTTCTGGATCACAAAGCTCGGATGATCAGTAGTGAATATAGATGATGTTTATTTCAAAACAAATAGTAAGTACTGTTTTTCAACTACATATGTTTTGTTGAATTTCTCTCCTATGTGGAAGATGGTCCATGAGTGACATTTTAAATTTGCAAAAGGAGGCAGGGTCGGGTGCACATTCTTCGTCAAACTGTAATATCTTGGCATCTGAGTTTTTGCTCATCCCAAAAAAGAATCGGTTTTTGGTTATAACTAACCCTCTTTGATTTCATCCTGGTGTTGATAATGTATAAATCTCTGATGTTGGCTAGAGAGAAATCTTGTGTTTGCATTCTTGGTTAATAACAAAGATTTTAAGGTGGACAATGATCTCACGCGTGTAAAATTGCCTGTGCATTTTGTTATTGCATAAATAATTATTTGATTGTCTCCTATCAGGTTTGGCTGAGAAGGATGAAATAATTCTGTCATGGAAATCTTCGAGAAATCTTGATTCCGGACTCAGTTTACTTACCAAAACAAACTTAACACTCCAGTTGCTATTAATTTTCACCCCCACAAAGAAGGAAGATGGTGGTAGCAATATCACGAAGGGAGGAAGAAAAGAGGTATAATGGTTGAACTCTCAAACGAACCACCAAGAACGGCTACCTCACCATTTCTCCTCTATTGCACACGCACCCACAATATGGCTACGGCATAGATATTGAAATGGTGGTGGAACAATACCTCCTCATCTACTTGGTGGCTTTTGGCGTTCCTGTTGCTCCGATGGGCGTGTGTAACCTGAAAAATGAGGGTGGGGCTTTCTCCCCCATTTCACTTCTGGCGTGAGAATCAGTATACGTGTTAGGAGAAATAAGGACGAAATTTAGATGGCTAAAAAATCTGCTATCATCCATACCTGTGTCACCTTTAGGGATATTTATAGACGTCGGAAGACGGGTGAAAGCCGGGTAGTAGTGGTGTCACGTGTCCCATGTTGGCCTTCCCACTATCCCCACGTTCTAAGTGGGGGGTCTTAACCCGTTGGAGCAGCAGGAACGTCAAAAGCCACCAGTTAGATCATAAGGTATTGTTTCACCACCATTTCAGATATATATCTATAGATTGGTTAATTAGGTCACCAAATATGGGTCATGTCAAGTGGACAAACCAAAGCATCGAGCCTCCAACGAAAGGGGTAATGTTAAGAATAAATGGGCCAACTAATCACTATCCAACTCAATAACTTGCACCATACAAGAGTGTTGGGTCACGAGCAATATTAACTCAATTAAGTTGCTTCTAATGGACTCAAGTTGTTTACGGGTCAAGCCATCACTAAGGTATCGATATAAATGATCTCATATTGGTTTCACAACAAAACCCAACAAATTCACTTGGCAATTGGCATTATTATTTCCAATATTATTTGGACTAATTGATTTTCTCCCATCACTTTTAACCTAATCTTTCCAAAAAAAAAAGAACCCTAAAACAAGTACACAAGCGCAAATCATTTGAAAGCACCAACATTGCTATTGTAATTAAAATCTGAAACTTGTACATATACACTATGAATATGGAAGACAAATACGATTACTCACACTGCAATTGATTTATTCATCATATGACAGGCGATTCTCTGAAAATTAAAGTCATTATTATTTCAACATATTTATTGAAATTGATCAACTGAAATCTGAATTTATTGGAATGGAGGTAGGCCAATAAACAGATCAGTCACCACCTCTAAGCTCACTGTCCTTTGGCTGCAACTAGCAATTTCTTTCTGTTTTTCTGGTGTCTGATTTGGCTTTCGTCCACACTGCAGGCATCATATTTTGAATAACTTCTATTAAAAATGAACAAAACAAAAAATTTAATGTAGAAGAAATTTGATGCCTTCTGCAAGTTTTAAAGTGGATACCATAGCATCTCGAATGCAACAATGTGAATTAATGCACACGTGGCAAGCAAAATGAGAGTAGAAAGAAGAGCACCTTCAATGGGGATGTGGATTACACTAATAGTAGACCACGTGTAAAGAGACGAAGTAGAGAAAAATGGACACATTCTCAAATGAAGATGAATAATAAAAAATTAAGTAGATAATACCTAACACATTTTCCACGACCGAATGCTGCGCTAATTATTCTCAACCTTTCTTCTTGACATATAAGTATTTTGTGGTGATTGACACTTTTGGATACAATCCATAGCTCCATGGCTCTTAGAGCTTGTTTGGTAAAGCTTTTATTTTCTAAAAATGTCAAACTTCATTTAGAAATATAACGATTTTGATTCACCACTTTTATCCGCATATTTTATTGGACCAATCAACTTTTTATTAATTTTTAGCAACATTATACGGCCCCTTAACTTTAGATTAACTGAAATGAATAGAAGAAATATCATGCAATCGCCAAGTTGTATCATAAAGTGATGAAGGAAGTTTTAGTTTGAAAAAATTGCACACTTCAGGCACTTGGCATGAACCCTACCAGTCTATTAAATAGAAAATAAAAATATTTCAAACTGGAAGATAAGTTTCTAAAACGAAAAAATAAAAAAAAATAAAAAAAATAAAAATATTCGAAAAATACAAGTCTATCGTTCTCAACGAGAGAACTTTTGGCTACTTCACTTGATATATTGAGAAATTATAATAGCAAGAATACAGCTAGGAAGCAGTACAAGATATACAATAAACAAAATTTTAACTTCTTTTTTCTTAATATTGTCTACAAAACAAGCTAACAATGTTTTCATAGGCAAGAAAAATATGTTAGGACATGGAGTTCCATCTTAAAAAGTCAACCTTATTAAGAGGAGTAGACCAAGATCTTATAAGTTGGTCTATGGTTCCATATTTAATCGACATGAGATTTTATCCCTTAACAAAATATATCATAATAAACTGTTTTTGCACTGACCAAAATTCATATTAGATAATCCTGAAACCTACAATGAAAAACACAGTATTTTAAAATCAAACCTAAGTTTAGAATAAAATTTTAAAAAGCTGCCAAGGGATCAACTGTATAATTTACCTAGTATCTGCATGTAAGTGCGAAAATTATTTTGGAATTGGAAGATTTACCTGTTTGCGCAATCTTGTATTTTCTTGAAAAAGAAACTTTTCCTGAATGTATTCACAAAAAAAATGTCACAAAACACATGTATATACGCAATATTACAAAAATCAACGAATGCCATTTCTTAGAGATCATGCATGGTGATACCTTTGCTTTTGATTTTTTTATATCCTCCTTGTATAGTTCAGCCTGAAATTCCAAAAATAACAATGTTGTCCTTATTATTATTATTTTTTTATTATTGTTGTTATTGATACGAGTCAAATTTCAGTTACAGAGCGAGTCTAATCGTAATACCTTTCTTGCTCGAATGGTTTTCAGGCTGTTTTCGAGCTGGATGTGAATATCGTGCAGTTCTTCAACTGAACATGTCCCCAAGTCTTGCCCTAAAAGTTTCCTGAAATCCAAATACATTTATTAGCAAAAATTCATGCATTCAAGGAAAGTTTTTAGAAAAATAAAACGAGATAAAAAAGCACAAAACAAGAACCGTTTGGAACTTTCAAAGAACTCTATCTTCTTTGCTGTGAATGCTCCTTCATGCTTCAAAGGCTGTAATGGAACCAGAGGAAGCACCGTATAAAATTTTGGTGAAAAAGACTCAAAATTAAAAATAAAGTAGAGAAAATACATATTTTACCTGATTCAGAAAAATCACCTATATATGGACAAGAGACAGAGAAGTGATTCACCAATCCAAATTTCCAATTCTTTCTCTTGTCATTCTATCTCATCTCTCAATCCAAAACCCAGGTAAATCGTTTGCTAATTTACTTTTAACACTCTCACAGAGTCCACGAAATCTCTCTAATCAAATTTATGGAGTTTCAAATCAAAAATTCCATTTGATAAGATAAAACCCCTTCATCAAGTCAAATTATGATTTTTCACAGACCAAATTAACAATTTGTTCAGTATTGAGTAATGCTAGTGATTATCAACAATTCTTATATGGTTTTGGTAATGTAGCACTATAATGGGTAGAGGTGGATGAATGAGAGAAAGCTAAATGTACAGGATTCTAAATCTACAATCCATGCCTGCCTTGAAAGAGGAAATCACTTCAAAAGAATTAATAGAAAGAATTAAATCACTTTTCATTCACTTATTCTTGATAGATATACATTACATTTTATTTGAAAAGAATTAAATTAAATTGAGATAACTGGTGGAGTGGTAAAAGGTGTAGAATTTAAGTGGGAGGTTGGTGGTTCATACCACTCTCCAATTTTTATTCACATGTTTCCAATTTTATTTCTGTAAAAATAAAATAAAATAAATGTTGATGAGAGTAGGCAACAACCAAAAATTTTTAGTTTAAAATAATTTGGAGACTTTCCAAACCACGAGTATTTAGGGATTTGAAAATCAATAACACTTGAAAGAATTCTGTTTATCAGATAGGTGGCAATTTTAAGGGTTTCACCCTAAAAAAAATTTGAAAGGTCAGAGCTCAGTAACATACATTTGACCTTTTCCAACAAGGTTGTATTCATCATTTTAGCAATACCATTATGCTGAGGAGTGTAAGTTACTGTTCTACGCCTCAAAATTCTAGAATCTTTACAAAATGAGTTAAATTCAAAGTTACAAAATTTAAAAACATTATCTGTTCTAAGTATTTTGATATTTTTATTTGTTTGATATTATATCATCAGTTTCCATTGCTTAAAAATTTGGAAGGTGTCTAATTTATGTTTTAAAAGAAAGATCCAGATTTTTCTTGAAAAATCATCTACTATTAACAAATAAAATCTGAAGCCACTAAGAGTACCTATTGATGGTGGACATGTAAATACTCAAGTATAGAAGTGTATTTATCAACCCCAGTTTTAAAAGGCAGTTTACTATGTTCACCAATAACACAATCTGACAAATTCAAGTTTTTCAATATTATCATTTCGAAAATATTTTAATTTATTTAAAATTGTCAAACCTTTCTCACTAATGTGGCCAAGTCTTCTATGCCAAATTAGGATTTTGTTATTATGAGATCTCACAACTGTAGAGCTGTTTCTAACTAATGGTTCAGAGTGCAGTGTGAAAATCCCATTAGATTTAGAAGAGGAAATTATTTCTTTAAAGTTTAGACTTATATTGGTTAATTCTTTATGGATCCTAATTTCATATTCATTATCCAACTGCCCAAGAGAGATCATATTTTTTTGAAGATCAAGTACATACCTAGTTTGGGACAGTTCAAGGGTATTATTATTATTCTCTAGCAAAAGCTTAATGTTTCCAATACCTTTTACATGACAAGTCATATTATTTCCCACATGAACTTGACAATTTCTAAGTTTAGTAAAGCTAGTGAACTATTCTCTAATGAGACACATATGAAAGGAGCAACCAAAGTCTAAAACCCATTCATTTAGGTTTCTTTTGGATGTGGTAACCAGGACAACTCCCTGAATGTCAAGTTCATTACTGTAGGCAATAGCTGTAGACCCATCTAAGTTTGTTTTTCCTTTCATGTAAGATATTTTCTTAAAACAATCTTTTATGAGATGTCCTGTTTTATCACAATAATAACATTTTTTGGTTGGTAACTTTGGTTTTGATTGTGATTTAATGTTTTATTCTGATTCCTGAATTTTGGAAATTGAGGTTTTCCTTTCTTGTGTGAGTTGAAATTGCATTGATTGTTCTTTTTGTCTTGATTTACCTTTTCCCTAATATTTAGACCTTCTCCAAACTAAGGATTTTTAGATTCAGATTCTGTGTTCCTTAAAGATGATATAACAATATTAATAGTTAGATCAATTATACTGTACTCTAAAACTTTTCTTAGATCTATGTATTTATCACCTAGTGCTTCTAACAGAGCAACAACTTATTAATCTTCATATAACTTCTCATCATAGTTAATTAATTCTTGAATCAATCTTATGTATTTATCAATGTTTTCTTCTAAATTTGAGGAGGGATCAAATCTTAAATTGTAGAATTGCCTTAGAAGATAACATTTGTTAGGCATAGATTTAGTTAGGTTTATAGGGACTCAAGTTTGGTCCAAAGACTAATAGTTTCTCCAACCTTCCTAATGAGACAGGTGCAAGAATATAGAATTTCAAGCAATCTCATCCAATTCCTATCTTCTATAGGCACTAATCTCAGTACCCCATGTCCTATCAATTGCCCCAGCACATATATGTTGTAATAATAGAGCCCTCATTTTCTAGCGCCACAAACTAAAATCTCCAGTCCCTCTCCAAATTTCTACTTCAAATTTTTGTACAGTTGTCATGATTACAAATAAAGTCATAGATTCAAGTTTGTATGCCACATAGGATATGATAAGTATAGACAGTGTGAGAGAACAATAAAGATTTAAATATCCTAGTCTAGTATTAAGATATGCAATTGATCAACAAGAAAAATTAAATCGGGTTAGGCAGCCAATTTGATAGGGCTAAGGAGTTGTGACCCGTAAATCCACTACCCCTTCAAATTCCCAGATCCTCGTAGGAGATCTTGAACAAATGAAGGTAGCAGTAGATCACTTACCTTAATAATCAAATCAAGATAGGCAATAAACAATGTAATAATTGACTGAAAAATAAGAGTATAAGGGATTCATACAAGAACTAAAACCTTAATGTTTCAGAGCAAAGAAGGTAGTAAGGGAATACCAAAATCGGTTGCAAAGTCCAAAATATTGAACAAGAAGCCAACGAGCCACATTAACTTAGTGTAACTCAGTAGTGAGTCACAAGAAACTAGCAGAAATCGTGGTGAGTTAAGTTAACTCATCGTCACACAGAACGAGTTTTGAAAAATACAACTCTGTAGCAATAAAAAAAACCAGAACTTCAAGAACCCAGAAGAAACCACAAATTTCTTTCAGAAACAAGAACCAACAATATCACGAAGTATTTAAAGATCGAATCAAAAATTGAATCGAAGATAAATCTCAGCCAGAAGTTTCAAAAAACACAATTTGTTAAAAAAAAATAAGTAAAAAAATAAAAAAAGTTTTCAAAAAAATTCTTATCTACAATTTTAGGGTTTTCAGAAAACTTTTAATCCTAACCCTAGCATTTCAAAAAGGAGCTCTGATACCACTTGTTGGTCTCACGATTGATATGTATACAAAAACAATTTGCTGAAAACAAATAAAATTGCAGAAAGTAAACGCACCAAGAATTTTCGCTTCTTAGAGCCTGGATGTTCAGCTAAAGTCTACTCACCCGTTGAGTATCTACCAAGTAGATTAGACTCAAATCCACTAAGAATCACAAAGAATCGATTCAAGAATGTCAAATTTCTTCACTTAAGTTTTCTTTTCGCTTCCCTTCTAGAAAAAATTGCTCTTCTCACAATCTCTGAAATTGTATATAAAATACAATCTAAACATCACTAAGATTTTACAGAGATTGAAAATCAGAAATCATGAAGAAGATGAAATACCTCTTAGAGAAGACGAAAGAAAACCCTAGAAAGTGACTGCACAATGCCACGAAGGGTCACAGGTGGCGATATATAGTCCAACCAAAGATCCAGATCCAACGGTCAAAATAACGCCAGATGTAGGGCCAGAAATTCATCTCATCTCACAATTTTAAGAGAAAGTCACGTTTTTCTTAAAGGATAGAACCTGGTGGCCCAAACAGCATGGCCTAAAGACAATTAGATTTGGCCTAATCCAAGAATAGAGAGGCAGTTCACAATAATAAAAAATAAAATAAGCTAGCCAGTAAGATTAAACTGTTAGAGGCAACTTTTGGATAATTTAGTGGAATAATAAAGCTAAGAGTTTCATTTTATTAATTTCGAATTAATCTTGAAAGTTATTTTTTGGGCTATATGTGCACATTGTTTTCTTGAAAATTAAATAAAAATCATATTTATCTTCTGTAATTTTTACAACCTCTATTCTAGTATTATTTAATTTGTTGTATCGTGGAGCGATTGTCCAAAAAGATCGTAGTAATTAACAAGAAGCAATTTTGCTTTAGAACATCGTGTTATCACGAGTCTCCATAGTTTGATAAGTCTTCTTACTTTCTACATTTTAATTATTGTTCTCGAAAACTATCTGCAAGACTGCAACTAATTTACAACTTCACGTGAACCGCAAGTATTATTCACTTATCCAATATTCATTTATATTTGTTATAAACACTAACCAAATGATGTTGATGAATAAACATGTATGCATACCTAGTATTAAGACAAGGTTTCATCTTAAAAATCAATGTTATCACGGATGTAGCTCAAAACCTTATTGTTTATTATTTTTCATTTTCAGTCAATTTAAAATTTTACACATAACATACTTCTTGTAAGATGGTAACTTGTTTGAAAATATTAATCTTAGTATTTAATTACCTGTTTGAGCATTATAATGATCAAAATGCTCTTTTTAGTTTTTATAACTCGAATAATATATTAATATTACATTTTTGTTTTAAAAGGTAATTCGTAAAAGAGTAGCGATAGAATCAATTATATGTAAAGCCCTTGTAAATTAAAATCAAATTTTTAGTAGATTTTAATAAATTTTGATGACAAGTATGGTTGAAAAGTTACGAGTCCCATGAAATATA